AAAAATACAACTTTTGATTAAGATGAAAATTTGTTATAATTATATAAATTTTTCATTCACAATGCTATACTAGAAAATATTCTTAATGAACAATACTTTAAATTGTTTAAGTATTTTTCATTAATAATATAATCCATTTGTATTCATTAAAAAATTAAATCGATTAAATAAAATAATTAGAATTTCATTTTAAAATAAAGGAATATCTGCTTAAAGATTCCAGATATTCCCCGAGGAATTGGTTTTGAATTAATGATATAGAAACATATATTGGTTATTAATTTCAAAGTTCTAATAGAGAAAAATGTCATTTATATTTATAAATATTAAGACTACTTTACTAATTTTATTTTTTTTTAACCATTCATCACGATTAGTTCTTAACGATCTTTAGTTTAGGATGATTGCCGTCATTAGACAAAAAACAAAGAATTTCAGATAATTATTACATCGGCTACATTACGCTCCAATGTAACAACCAGAAAAATATTTGTTTTTCCGAATTAGCTATTTGGCCTTAGAGGGCAATGTTGACTTCATTATTTTATCTGAACAAGTAGCATCTATATAATCTTTATGAAGCTCATTAGATACTTTCAAAGAGTACGTTATTAATTTTGACATGTCGTATTGTTTATAGAGTAGCAGAACGAGTTATATGAACTAAGCCGAAACTTTTGCTAAGGAAACTTCACTTGACACCTTGTTATAATAAACGGACTTTAATAATTTTCCCCGACGAAAGGCTGCTTTGTCATTATTTCACAAAGCCTGTTGTTATTAATATTGAACAGAATTAATTACGTAAACTCTGCTAGGAATGGGTCGGAGTCGTGAATATTATAAAAGTAAAGTCAGGGTGAAATATACTTTTTTTTTAATTAAAATAACTTGATATTTTGCTGTGATTTAAAATATTAGTTGAAGCTGATCTGCGGTAGAGAATTTAGTTTTAATTTGGCTTTACTGAATCAAATTAACTGAAATATCAAAACAATGTGATAATAGAGAACGGTTAGTGTCTGACAACTTCATTAAATACAGTATCTATTATTAGACAAAATTTTGAATATTTTCTTTTCATATTATTTCCAAATAATAAGCCTGCGATGGCTGGTAACTGAGGAACAATACCTATAACACAATAATGAATACAAATGGAGCAACGGAATACAAATTTGCAAACAGAAAATGGCGAGTTTGTGTGATAATTAGACTTTGTACTAAACTAATGTGGCCTTTTCAGTCAGCATTAAATATTTCAGATTGAGTATTCAGTATTAATCTATCTAATATTATTAGGCTGATAGCAATCAGCCTTTCAGCCAGTTGTACAAATGTCCATTAAAATTTACATTAGTTTAAAGCGACATTACCCACACAAATTTGACATGCATTAGAGCCTATAGGCGTCAAAAAACTTGAATGGACGTTTGTGCAACTGACCGTTAATCTATCTACTGATGAACAATACTAATTTTCTTTAAACCTCGCAAATCAATAATGACATTAAGATATTGATAATATTTAATTGTGAAAATAAGGCCGCATGGTTTTCGCTGCTTTAGCTTTATCAATGAACATTTTCACATTACATTCGATACTAATTAATATATAGAAATAAATATAATGTCTTATAAATCAACCGTCTTTTATTAGTTTGAATTAGATATGAGGGAGTATTCTGGCTTTTATGTCTTAATTCATCAGAAGTATATTTGTCGAATCCTCTCGAAACTTTCAGGCCGACTGAGGGGGCTATCTTGTTACAACCGATGAATAGCGTTTTCGGGAAATGAATTTACTGTCAGCGGCCGTGGCGTTTTTTACCCACAATGCTCGTCAATTGTCGGACAGAGGAGATAGTCGACGTCGAAATCTTTGTAGTTTGAATAGAAAAATGTTTGCGAAAACCTTTTTTAGTGAGGACTCGACGTCCGCTCCGGGTGAAAACGATTGATTTGGCGACTGTTGCTTCAATATTAAAAAAGCTTGACCTACCGTTTTCTTTTATATACGTACGAGAATACCGAAAGTTTCTACAACTTACCTTTTTTTTGAAAATAGACATTTCCGAGAATGTCTTGCTTGTATCATTACCTATTTTGTTCTCAACTATTATTTGTATTGTACATGTTGTGATGTAGTTGTGTGTTGTTGTCTGAATAAATTATTTATCTATCTTTATGATTCGTGAGATTGTCATTTGTTTTGAATTTATTAAAGTATTCCTTTTGAAAATTATATCATTGACAAAACTGCAACGAAAATGTAATAATATTCTCGAATTAAATTTTCGAGAATAATCTTACATTTATGTTACCGGTTAAATATTCGGTGATGTAATTGCGTCTTGTGGTTCTGTGTACGCATTAGTCACTGAATTATGTGGACATAATCGTCTTCATGACGTTGAACGTGGAGGTTGACTAACGATTGCGGTTACTGAATCTAGTATATTATATTGGCATTAATGAAATTTACTGGTCAACTAATTTATTCTATATCGAACTTTAAAATTAGTCGTATATTGCTTGTATCTAAGCGGTTAAAGTTTAGATTTGGAGTATTTGAATTTTTCCGACTTTAAAAGAAATAGCTTGAAATTGTGTGTCATCTTTATAGTTTTTTTTTAATTCTACGTTACGTAACAGAATCATATCCTAAAAAATGATTGGAGTATATAACCTAAAAAACGGCTAAATGTTAAAACGCAAAAAAATCGAAAAAGAAAACCTTTTGTTGTACGGGATCCAACCAATAATTAAATCGGTTTCATGATATTTGTTGTTATAGCGGCAATGGAAATACATCATTTGGGAAAATTGCAATTATCTAGCTATAAAGTTTCATAAGATAGACCCTAGTAACGGACCGACAATTGGACGGACGGACGAACAGCGGAGTCTCAGTAATAGGGTCCTGTTTTTACGCTTTATTTATGGAACCCTAAAAACCGCACCGGGTTACTCTTATTTAAGTGGCACGTCCGCCTTTGGGTCACTGATTTACATAATGTGCACAACATTACAATTCAGTTCAATCTGTATATTTGGAGAAAATCAGCTCTGTCATTCAGACAGCAGACAACTGAATGATCTTATCTTTACCTTTTGGGGCGAAAACTAAAAAAAAAAAAAAAAAACAGTAGATGTAACCTGTAAACTAGGTTTTAGAATTCAAGCGACTTAATAGGTGTTTCTATTAACAAACACTTATGTACCTTAGCTTCTCGTAAAATTTAGCCTTTCACTTTTTTGTTAGTATTTGTTTAAAAGCCTTAAAATTGAAAACGAGGAGATTCTGTGTTCGACGGGTAGAGGAACTGCAGCATATTTGGAATACTGCAGGTAATTTGGAATACTTCGATATCTAAATAAATATTAACAGCATCTATATTTTTTTACTGTGAACATAACGTCCTAAGACGCACTACGACATATAGCATTAAAAACAGGACACCATTTTGACATTCCGGCTACCAGCTCCCACGAAACAAAACGACAGATTTCAAAACTTTTTTGGTAAGTATGCAAACAACGATAATTGTTTACTCTCAAACATAAAATATTTAGTGTAATTATTCAAACTGTTATGTGACCTTTTTAGTTTATAATTTAACTTTAATTTTGTGAATATTTCTAGAATGAAAATGTGATATGCCGTTTTAGGTTAGGATGGTATGTTGTTAATTTGGGATACTACACGTGAACTGTTACAAAGACTAGAAATTTATTAGTTTGTAAGATCAAGTGTTAACAGTATGTTAATAAAACATATAATTGTTAAAATATATATAGATAATAATATATATCAGTATATAATATAAAGTGAATATAATTTGGAATACTATATTCCAAATGTCCAATACTATATTCCAAATTACCTGCCCTCTAAGTCCTTTCACATAATTTCAAATTTTTAGCTCTTTTTGTTTTTTGATAAGGTTCTTGAATTTTGTTCTTTATGATAGTTATAAATATTAAAGTTTAATAGTTTTCCAAGTAATAAACGTATTTTTTATTGAGCTATCTCTTTTTTATTTAAATTTATTCTCAAAAACAAACTGGTATTCCAAATATGCTGCAGTTACTCTATGTATTTTTCAAGGCATGAGTCATTGTAACATTTCGTCTTTTGCCATGGAAACGTTATCCCGTATACCAATCACCACAATACCTAACCCCGAAAAATAAAACAAACTAAATTTTCTTTATTGAACCTTTGAATATTTTTGTGAAATATAGTAAACCGGTTCAGATTTGCAGTTAAACAACGTTTCTTGTTATGCACGACTATAAAACTCCCTTCGTACAGCTTATCTTGAATTTATGCATTTTAACTCGTAAAAGTGGCCTAAAACATATTGGAAGTGATTTAAAATTCTGTTCTACAGAAATGTTGCTGCTTCTTCTCAAATTGGCTTTAACTAATTATATTTTGGTTCAGTGTAAAGAAGTTTCAGATAATGACGACGACGATTTAGGAAATCATCTTGCTGATACTTTGAGAAATGATGCAAATTTGGATTTATCTGTTGACGATGAATATGAAGACCTGAGGGCGGAATTCCTGGCTTATCGCACAGCGTTGGCTTCACTCGCATCTCCAGGCTCTAGAAGCAAGTACCGCAAAGCATCATATAAAAATAGTTAATTTAATCATCATCTACGTTCATTGCTGACATCGTATCCCCTTTTCTAAGTTAAATCCTAGAGTATGTAGAATTATATAGTATAATATCTCAAGTTATTTTCATGGCCCATCCGATGTATGCCTTTCGCTAATAATGCTTAACCTTTGCATCCTCTAAACACTATGATATTGAGCTTGTGATAATTTTAATGAATATTCAGCTATATCTGATACTCCCTCCGCTTATTCGTCAAAGGATCAAATGTGTTTATACTTTCTTTGTCATGATTTCAAGCTTATTATAACTCGAAAAGAAGAATTCCAAATTATCAATTACAACTTATTTGTGTTAGTAAATCTACAATTCAGATCAATAATGAAAAAAGTTAACATCAAATACTGCAACATTGAAATCTAGTTAGTCTAAGTATTTTGGTATGTTCTTAGGTTGCAAGCTAATCTACTCAGAAAATCGATTACTTTTATCACTAGGAATACATCAAGGTCATGATTGACCAATTGAGCAAATCGCTTTGGGTAGATTTAACTTTTACCAAATTCCCATCTATTCTAAGTAACAATATAACAGAAAAATTTGCTTCTTTCTGCTTAATAAAAAACTTGAGGATTTGAAATATAGACAATGTAGTTTACCGTAAAGATAAACACGCAGTTGCAGCAACGTCCATTGATGTTTTCATTAATTTAAAGTGATATTACCGATAAAATTTTTCGAATTTAGAATATTCATAAGAGCCTAAAGTCATCATTAAGCCTTATGGATATGAGTACGTATATTAAATGTTTCCAGGATCATTGGGATCCACACCATGTTGGCAGCGTAATGGAATCTGCATCAGTCATAAGCTTTGTGAAGGATTCAGATCACTGTCTGAAGTGCCAGGATGTAAAGACAAATTGAAGGTTTGCTGTTTTGTCTGGGCTAAATACAACGTGAGAGATCATAGGGAGTTCGATTTAGGAAACGCAGCTATGCCATGGTCTGCGACCAAAGAGTACGGCGGTAAAGGTGTGGTTGAAAAGAATATCACTGTCTCAAAGCAAAATAAGAAAAAAAAGAAAGCAACGCGCAATCGAGCCCTAGCATTTATAATAAAAACCCAATAAATATATTCGTTTTGAGATTTTTTCATTTCAACTATAATTATTTTTTCAATAAAAATATCAGTTAAACTAGATACACTTAAACTTTTATGCTCAATGTATATGTATTATTATTATAACACACGAAGTATTCATCTACAGATAAGACAAGATAAAATTAGATGCATCAGATTATGTATCGTAAACAAACTGAAGACTTATCAGAATTATCTCCTTTCATAATCTATCTGTTTATTAATTTTCTTAACATTATTAACTCCTCGGTGCCACCGATATTATAGAACTGCAAAGTTACACTCTTATTGCATTGATAACAGAAGTAAGAAATAATATTATTTCGTAAATCCAGGATATTTCGGCTCATGCTTGGTTTGTTAATTTCGCGTTATCTTAATATCTTATGCAGAGATTTTTTAACTCTAAGAATCAAAAGTGCTTGAAAAGCACAAGAAAGTATTTGAATACATATTTCTATTAGTTGTGATCTCGAGAATAATAAACATCACATAAAACTTGTTACAAAATATATTTGCATACACAAAAATTATAAATTGGACTATGGGAAATTTTATAGTACTTTCTTACTATTACTTTTTCAGTATTCCATAAAAAATTAAGTATGAAAAAGAAAAACTAAATGTGATTATTTTATATTAATAAAACTCACCATAAAATAATAGGATTGATTTGCAACGTGAATAAAATTTGAGATCCTGGATTATGAAAACCAATGATCACGGTCCTTATTATCAATCTTAAAGAAACATTGATAAAGTTCGCCACCACCAGCCCTTTTACGTCCCCACTGCAGGGGCTCAGGCCTTCCTTATGGATGGTTAAGGAGGATTTGCCATGACCCTCCACGCTGGCCCAATGCGGATTGGAGGGTATTAACGACTGCAAATGCAGCCGGGACCAACGGCTTAACGTGCCTTCCGAAGCACGGAGTAGCTCGAGATAAAAATTTTTTTTTTGGTCACCCATCCCGTGAACGAAACCTTACGAAACGAAAGTTGCTTAACGACAACGATCGCGGGCCGCGGCGCTTATCCACTACGCCACCGAGCTACTATAAAGATAGAGTAATTTACGTAAATTCACAAAGATTTCTTTATATCAACCCAACTGGTGGACCTAACAATTTTAATTATCGAAAACCAATAAAATACAACTGTAAAATTATTGAAGTCAATGGCTTAACGTAAGTTAAAGACAATTTTAATATTTTTAGTTATAACATGAATTTGTTAAGGCATAGTATACCTATTACTGTATTTGTACAATTGGTATTTTGTACTAGAAATATTTTTGAGAAAGGATCAGGATTGGAGCCTAACATTATAAAAATACCTGATACTTATCGTGATATTTTTCTTCCCGGCACTAGTGGTCAAATGACTTTGGGTAATTATGTTCCTCTTTTTAATTAGTAACCTACTTCACCTGGCTTGGCTATATTAACGTTAGAAAATTAATGTTGGAGGACTGACGTTAAAGAAAGATTTTACAAATCACATCATACTTTCAATCCTTTCTGCAAAAAGGGAAGTAACATTCTGTAAATTATTTTATAAGTTTGTTACAATTGCGAGAAAATAGGCGAAACTGACACTGAAAAAACGTAGTGCGTTGACACATTTATTGACGTCAAAGCTGCACTGAAAACATTTGTTTGTAGAATTGTAACACCACAATTAATCATTTATTCAATTTTAAAACAGCTGTATTTGACGACTCCTGGTCGTGATTGAAAACGAATAATTTTTGTAAAAAAATATAATAGATGCTATATGTGGAGCTACCGATACTGGATTCGTAGGTACGCTGAAAATAAATTTTCTATATATTGACGACTCCATCGTGCTCTACAAAATTAAAATTACGCAAATTGGAGCATGACCGATGAAGCTGTTTACGGCAAATTGAATTTTGATTTCAGGATCAGTGCATATCTGATGGAGGATGCGTCGCGTAATTGTCGGTCGTAAAATTTCATAACTGATAAATATATATTATGAAACGACATTCAACCTTGCATAATCGACACAAGATCCGTCGCGATTAACGCATAATTTCACTTGATGGATCTTCCGTCAGAATTGTACAGACCTTTAAGTGTACAAAGCTAAGTAAAGACAAGCAAATGAGTCTCTCATACAACACCAAATGGCAAAATCCTAAAATGACACGTTTTTGAGAAGAAATACAAAATAATACTGGAAGAATCTGATACAGAATACTCTGGTATCAGGGAGTTTAGGATGTAAACAGATTAGTTCAAAACCGAACATGGTACTAAAGCCAGTATGCATTCATCTGCTCCTGCCGAAAGGTCTTTACACAAATTAATTCATAAATGTATAAAACACATACACATACACACTCGCACAAACAAAAACACACACACGCACACAGAGAGAGAGAGAGGGAGTGACACGCAGACACACACTCGCACGCACGCACGCACGCAATACTCTCACTCACTCAGCTACTAAGTAATTCATAATTCCGAGATTATTACTGGTTTTAGGCTAAGAGCTAGGCATCCCAATACAAGTATAATAATTACTCTCTGGGATTATCTCAATAAATTAAAACACGTATCTACTTGGAAATAAAATCATTATTTTTTTATTTTATAATTTGCGTATCAACGGTTACATAAGCCTCATTCCTTATCGAATGCGAGTTACCGTCTTGTACTCCACATACCAGTTCATACTATAACACTTTGTGTAGTCATATTACTTGCAAACAAGACTGCAAGTGAAAAGGCCTTAGATGAGTACACAAAGATACCTTTTCTCCTTATCGGATTTCAGGTTCAGCTAAAGCAACATGTTGGGCACGCGGCGGTATATGTGTGCCTGTTAATCAATGCCGTGGCTTAGAATTCGCTGACACAGTCACAGGCTGCATACGAGGCTATCGAGTTTGTTGCAAGGTACATAAATTTGCCTCACCGACTGTCGGTGTTCAGAGAAACGGTCCAGAGATCGTGGTCCAGTCATCGGACATGGATGGACTCGACAAACAATTAGTAAGGGACGTAGCAAGAATGAATAAAAACGTATTAGACTATTTTTTAAACTCAATCCAAGAAAATTGAATTATAAAATAAGTGTTCTTTATTCTGTTTTGTGATTTTTACTTGCACGATATCCACATATTTAAAATAAAAAGCTCAAAATTACCATTTAGCTACACTACAGATGAAGTTAAATGTCAAAAGAGTACCTTATACTTTTTTCCCATTTTTGGAGCTCGAATAAAAATACAATATATTCGTAAATATGCGTCAATATAAAATAGTGTACTTTTCTATTGATAAAAAAAATTTTCAAATAGATGTTGTATATCCGGAGATTATATTTCAAGACATTTCTTAATTGAATTATTTAATTTGATTTCCTACGGAATCCGGATTGAAGATATAAATTGATATAGAATAATTTATAGTTAATTTGTATTTTACTTAAATCAATGTCGGTGCTTCTAAATGTACGACTTTGAATGAAGCGCTAGGACCCTAAAAAAGTAATTGTATCTTTATCCTATTTAAAAACAATATTTATAATTTTCAAGTTTACACTGTAGAAGCTAAAACAAAAGCTAAAATTTTAAGGAAAAATATGAAATGGAAATGTTCGTTGATAAGCCCGTTACTTGAAACGATTGAATTAGATTAGCATACATATTATCCCACACGAGCCGAGCAAAGCTAGTTCCTCTTAACGGGTGGTTGATACCACTTCTTGCAATATAGGAAATTAAATATAACAATTTCTTTTTCTTATATCAAACTCATTACAATTTGTGATGACGAGGTGAGATGAATGTGAGCTTTATTTTAGTCACCTTAAATATATAGAAATAGATAGCCCTGTTGCACAAATATCCATAAAGGTTTAATGTCGACTTTAAGCTTTAATGAATGTTCTAAATATAAAAATTTGAATTGGTAATTTCGCTTTAAACTGAGGCCAATTTTAATAAACGTTTGTGCAACAGCGGATAAAGTAATACCTAGAGTTGCCTGTTTACATGAAATTCTTTAAACACGTTAATGCAACTATTGACGTCGTAGTGTATCGAAGCGTCAATATGTTTTGTTTTATTTTAACCGACTTCAAAATCCAAAATTTTACTAAGAAAAAAAGTTAATGTTAAGCCTTTAAATATGTTTTTGTATTTTAATTTATCAAAGTTAAATCTTAATATTTTTGTGTATATATTTTTATTAGCAAATTATGGCAGTGTACAAAAAAAACTAATATTATAATGTTACTTTTCCCTTTTAAAACCCCAACGCAAAGAGCGGTGTTATAAGTTTGATGTGTCTGTCTGTCTATCTGTGTGCGTGTCTGTGGCACCGTGGCTTCAAGTAATGAACAGAATCGAGTTCTAGCTTATTTTTATTCCATTTTATTACAAGCATTAACACTCATATACACAAATCAAAATTTAGTTTATACAAATAAATACAAAACTGAAAATTAAAATATGTACCTAATAAGTTAAAATAAATTTAAAACAAAATATAAACAAAATCATAGCTAAAAACATAAAAAAATAATCATGAAATTCTTGAAAAACGGATAAGTAGTTTAGGGGCTACAAGTCTACTTATTTTTCATGAAAATCGGATAAGTAGTTTAGGAGCTACAAGTACTTTACAAAGACTTGGTGTAACTTGGTGATTTGGTGAATATACTTGGTGAAAAAAAATCGTGCAATAGGGGGGGGAGGCTTAAATTTAAAATATCTTTGTGTCGGGGGTTTTTTTCAACAATAAAAAAAATAAGGTTATAAGCCTTATAAGTTATAAAAGGAAAGAGCACCGTTTTGTTTGACGCCCTGCATAAAATTTCCGCTTTTGCCATTGTGATCTTACATCACGTCACGTGTGGAAATGATTGCATACCAAAAATCACAAAAGTACAATTATGTTAGGATTTGCCAGTTAGAATCCAAAAGTATCTAAATTGAGTAAACAACGGTCAACGTCACTAGGGATGTTATATATTTTGTTTTAGAACTAACCGTAACTCCTAAATAGAAATCTATATCGAAACTCATTCGTAAAACAAACCCCAATTTATACAATAACTGTCCAAAACTAAATTTGTTTTACGAATTCACTTGGTCCTAAAATAACGTACATTAATGACGTTACTCGAATCTCAGTCACTTGGTGCCTTTATTAATATGCCAAACTATTATTATTCATATTAAACTATTACCACTAGATCCTGTCTTCAATTTAAAATGAAATCTACTTAATCCTAGCACAGATGATATCAATACTACGTCAATCATAAATCAATACTA